ATGCTTTGAGAGCTTCTGTGGATATCATTGTTTTCGGGAAATGAGGTCTAGGTTTACAGTTTCTGCTTGTTTTGTTTTTTATGAGCTGTTCCTTCGTGTTTTGTTTTTTTTATGAAGAAATTTAAACTGGAAGAGTAAAACTGATTTGCATATTGTATTCTCTCTCTCTCTCACACACACATACTCACACACACGCACACACACACACTTACACACACACACACACACACTTTGTTATACTTTCATCATTTAGGAGAAGTTTATAAAACCATTAGGTCCATGCTTATATTCAGCTTACAGCATTGCAGTGTTTGGGGTATGCATTATTATTCTGTTGCTGTTACATACTTGAGACATACTGTTTTATTTTACTTTTTTAATTTGGCTATGGGGATTATATATTTCTGTGATGAAATAAATATTTCTTAAATCTGATTTGTTCACTTGTCATAACTATTTTTGTTCTTGTATATTTAATTTTTTTTTTTATTGTCTAGCTCTTTAATGGCTCTTTGAAGCAAACAATTATGTTTTATGGCAAAATTATAACGTGAAAAATATACATGCAAATAGAATGATTTAACATCTATATATCAAAATTATAGATGGGAATGTGAGATATTAAAAAGAATATATAATTTAAGGAATTTTTTATAAAAAGTGGTACATTTTGGTGATATTTTAGTAGATTGTTCAATAATAAAATGTATAAAAATGAAATGTATTTATCAATAAAAATGACAAACAGTATCCCACATTCTTGATTTTTAGTTCAAAAACGCTTTGTAACAGTCACAATTGTGTGGTGTGTCTTTAAGACAACGTAAGGTAAGGGTTAGTGATGTCACAAGTATGCACCACTGCTCTCTGTGGAGTATGAGAGCAACTTGCTTGCACGTGAGTGTATGGGCTTGGAAACTGCTAAACGTTGAAATTATTTGTACTTTGTTGCGTGCTGCGAGCCAACCAATTGGCCCCGCCCATATGACAGCGTCAGAAAATATTTCCGGAAGGAATCCGGAACTGTCAAGATACCGTCCACTAGCGAAGTCACAGAAGAACGGCTCCTTCTCCTTTAAATAAGAGGGAGGCAGTTTCTGCTTGCGGTAGAAATACATGATGTTACGTTTGTCCAAGTATTTATCGGCTGTACAGTGTTTTATTAAGAATCATTGTACCGTAATACGCGAGTTAGTGCTAGGAATGTTAGCACTGTAACACTAACTTAAAAAGTCGCCGGTTGCTAAGAGTTACCATCACTAATCGGATTTCAACGTGACTTTAACTAGTCGTTTTAAAAAAAAAAAGAAATTATTCTGAAGTGTAAATTCAGATTTGTACGTGAATTTCTTTATTGGTTCAACTTTATTTACCAAATCGTTGTCTTTTTGGGCTTTTATTTTGAAAGCGTCGGTTGAAAATAGTATTCGTGTGACTATCCAACTTAACCGTGAAAAGGATACCAAAAGAAAGCTTCGTCCGGCTCTTCTCTTGCTGAACGTCGGGTCGACGTATTATATCGTTTTCTGTAGCTGACAGATTGATTGAATGGAAGAAAGCCAAATATGGAACCGAGCCGATCCGGGCCAGTCCAAACCGTGTCGAGAAACAAGAGACAGCAGCTCCCAGACTGACAGCAAAATACAAGGTGAGCCAACTGGAGGAAGAGTTCTTCCAGTAGTTTAGCTTCATATTTTTCCCCTCTGTCATGCCACAAAACCGCAGCTTCATGAGATACAGTTTACCAGAGAGGCACTTTAAATGGCCACGGCTGACAGCCTTTATTTACACATTACACAATGCTGCACACAATGCATCTTAGACTTGGCCGATCATCCAATCCTATTCACATTATATGGCAAAATCCCCATCCTCAGATCAATAGAAATAGGTCTTCACCTTCGTGTATTTGAAATAAATGTTATATTTTTCTAAGTCTCAGTCAACAGGCCAAGTTAGCTTCGGTGGAGCCTTTAAACCATGCAAACATTAGTAAT